GCCTCGTGAGACGTGAATTATAGTGTTGTTATAGAGCGACTGTTGAAATTAAGTATATCGTAAAGTTGTATTCGGAAAGAATAAACCAGTTTTATTTAAGAAAGAACTTGTGTTGCTAAAGTTTTGTCGGAACGAATTTACGGAAAATTAACTAGCGAACGGAGACGTAACATACTTAATTTGGAAATGCCCCTATCACAAATATTTAATGGTTTCCTCATTTTTTCTCTTAGTAAAAAAAGTTTCAAAACTACAATCAGATATCTTCCTGAGCCAAAACTGACTGTTTTGCATCTTAATAAATCCATTGTCCTCCTCCTTTCCCTTATTAGTAACAATTTTTATTGTTTTATAATTATTATGTTTTTATTTCCAGTTAGCTATAATCTTACTATTTTGCATCTTAATAGCTACAGCATTATTCCTCTTTCCCCTTTTAAGCATCATCATAACTTAAATGATTATCTTTTTTTTATTACAGTAATTTCCTGTTCTAACCTATTCTTTTGTACTGAAAGTTAGCAGTTTTCCCCAAAGCTAGTTATAACTTTTCCTCGAGAAAGCAAACTCTTCAAATCAATTTTACGAAGTTACTTTGAACTCTTATAGGTTAGCAGTTTCAAAAATAACCTAATGTTTACATTTATTATACCCAAGGAATTTGATTTTGTTTACCTTTTTACTAATATTTACTTTTATGCTAAGTCAGTATCTAACCTGAATAAATATTCTCTGTACAAACCTAAACTTAAACCCTGAAATTAAAAACTGTGGAAAAATATAAATATACTAAATTTATAAATAATTTAATTATGAAACTAAAAGCCAGAAGAGTGGGCTGTTGATATTTTTCTCAATTAATTAAAGTAACTATAGAAACTTTTAATCACCATTGAGAGTCGTGTTGTATTTTATCTGCTGAGAATGTTTATAATGATTTCTTTCAAATCACATCATATGAATTAAGTAGTACGTTTTCATAATTTGAATTATAAACTTTTTTCACATCTTTGTGTGATGTTTACTTTTATGGTAGAACCTCAAACGTTTGATCAGAGTTACTGATACCTGTGAAAAAACTGGTAAGATTTGTTTCTCTGTAAATTAAGTTACTGTAGTTATACATTAAATAATTGAAGATGGAAACCTTTTAACAGTCTCACTGGTAAATTAATTTATTAGCCTTTATAATTTTGTTTCATGATGTATTTTGCTCCTTTAATTGTTTTGTATATTAGAAAGCAAATGATAAAAAATATCTTAATTCAAAACAATCTTCAACTTTACCAAAATATAGTTTAAAAAAATGCGCTATTACTGATAGTAATAAACTAAATGTTTTTTCAATGTGGATAGAATGTAGACATCACTATAGTTGATAAGCCATGATGATGATGCTTTTAGAATAGAAATAGATGTTCTCCTTAACATCTGTTTAAACTGAGAGCTTTTACTTAAAATTAAAAATACCAAGCTTGTAAGAAAAGCTTACAAGATTTGTGCTAAACCTTTGGTGAAACTTAGCATTGAGTTAGTTGAGCTTTAACTGTTACTGTTCAATACTCTCTAGATGCTAGGGACATGATGATTGGGAGATTGCTAGTGTGATCCTGATTTAAGAAAAACTTGTATTACAAATTAGATTCTTTATTGTGCCTTCATTTTCAAGCTTGAAGGCATCTTAGTTTGTGTTCTTTATCTTACTTTCAGAAACTTTGTGAGCATTTTATGGAAAATACCGGTATTGACCTGAATTATGTAGATACTAATTTCTTGCTGGTAAAAAGAAAGACAAACAGATTAAAAGTACAGTATTTTAAAGTAAGTCAAAGGTATGTTATGCGAGCTAGCTTCTCTCTCATTTGTATTTGGTAGGTCAATAATCCTCCTCATGTTACATCTATTTTTAAAAGGAGTGATAAGAGCTGCTCTGTATGATGGAAAGGATGCGGATTGGTGGTAGTTAAATTTTCAAAAAGCTTTTTATAAGGTGTCACATAAAAAAAATAGAAAATCATTTTGATGGAGGTTGTAGGAAAACTAGTAAATTACATTTTAGTTAAAGTGTTTGGTTGAGAAAAACAAGTTGTTATTAATGGAGCACAGTTAATCTGAACTCTTCTTACTAGTGGAATGATATTTTTAGGAACATAATTAGCAAATCAATAAAGTTTGCAGATTACATTAAGCTCTTGGATATTTCTACCTGTATTGAGGATATTTAGGTATTATGGAATGATTTGGATCAGTTGGTAAATTAGACAAACATTTGGTAAATGATCTTTAATTATATTAAATGGAAGATATTGCATTAAGTTACATGGGAACCCAAATAATAGGTTGATTGAAGAAAAAGATCTGTCAAAGCTAATAGAATTTTTTGGTATGTTTATGGACATATTGATTACAAGTCAAATGAGGTAATTCTTTTTATATAAATCACTAGTTTCACATCATATGGAAAGGGTTCAGGGTTATTAAGATGATTATGGGGATGGAAGGGTTATGTAGATAGTGTAAATTCCATTAAGTTATTTTCTCTTGAGAAAAGAAGAATAAGAGCTGATCTTAACAAAGCTCACAATATTTTCTGAGGATCAACAAGATAAAGTCCTATTGGTCTCTTTGTGCTGTAGGATGAGAGGACACAAGTTTAAGATTTGGAAAAAATGGGCTGGCTCCATTTGGGACTGTTTTAGTTTTCTAACATGGTGATTGGCTTATGGAACAAGTTGTAATTGGTAATAGTTGATGCCGGCACTTTACAAGATTTTAATGGTGGAATTAGTTATTTCCTGAAAAATAAAGGGTGGTTTTAAGTTATTACTTTTTCTCAAGGGTGGATGTGTACAACCTTGAAAGGCCAAATAGTCCCTTGTAGTCTGTGTGTTAAGGTGCTTCACAGGATATTAACTTCATGGTTATGGTTTGTACCCATTTGGCTTATTTCTTGTATGGAGAATGATATACAGTTCAACAACACTTACAATAACTCTGAGCTTTCATGACATATCTTCACAACAATTGGTAAGATTTTGTTAAAGATTAGAAGTATTTTGTACACAAAGAATGAGATTGCTTTAATTAAGTATTTTAACTAAAGATTTTTTTGTTTTTGTACTGTAGTTATTTGCACTCAGACTCTGAATATTTTGAGTATTATCATCATTATGAAGTGCAATGAAACGTGTAAAATTAAAAACAGAAAAAATGTACATACCTTTTAGTTTTTCATTGAATACTCTTAAAAGATCTTCTTTTGGTTAAATTCTTCTCTTAATTGTAAGTTTTTACATTTTCACATATAGTTTATTTTTGATGTTTTCCCTTTCTTTCCTGTCCTTTAGCATTATTCCTTATCACGACACATCTCAACAGATGCCCTTGGGCAATATTATGGGATCATTGGCAGGGATACTTTAGCCTTCGTTAGAATGTTGGGATAGCCTCCTACTACACTAAGCCTGATGAACCAAGGCAGTTTGGCTTATATTTTTAAAAAATGATTAATCCTTTATAATATTCATTTTAAAAGAGGATTAACACATAATTAACTAAAATATAAAGCTAAAACCTAAATACAATTTAATTGCTATCTTAACTAACATATTTATAGGTGAGAAACAACACTAAAGTGCTGGCAAGGACAAAAGCAGCAACAATGCTACGAGCAGTTTGACTAGTCTTCTATGATGTTCTTCCTGCCAATTTTAAAATAACTATTAGGAGATTGTATTTCAAAATGTGCTCTTTCTATTGGTTATAAACATTTAGCTAAACTTAGTATAATTGGCTGAGAAATTGCAACTCTGATGTGTTGAAAGTGGGTGTGGCATCTGTCAAGAGTTCCAAGAAATATATTTTTCCTTTCTCCAAATGTACCCTAAAGAACTTGAAATAGAATGTGTAAAACAGAGCAGTTAACCAGTTTCTGTCTATACATGGAAGTATAGTGTACATGAAGAATTATTCAAGTTACAAAGACGAGAAGTTAAGAATTTGTGAATTTAAGCATCACATGATTACAAAACTGAAGTTTAAGAATTTTTCTTTATGGTTTCTTTTGAAATAAAGGAATTAAACCTTAGATATTAGAAAACTTTGAACTACAATGTAGATTTTAATGCTAATTTCATTAGAATACATTGATCATAAGATTGCTTAATTGAATTTGAAATGTAACAGAATAAAATCTCATGACATGTGCAGAAAAAAGTACCCATAATTATAAGGTTAATTAGTAAATTGTTAATGGATGGGATTTTTAGAAAAGAGCAAAGTGGTAAATGGGCATTTTTTTTGACTGAGGTAAAGGATGAACCTCCTATCAATTGCTAGAAAGTCATTTTTAACAACAATTACATATAACATATTATTTCCCTCTCATCTTAGAGTCATAAGAAATTCTCATGCTAGGCAGAAGTTTTTTTCCATTGCTCAGTGTTGAACCTGATGCTTCTTGTACACCAGGCATGTGTTCAACCAACTGAGGTAAAGGGTTAATCTCTTAGAACTTGATATTAAGGCCTTTTTTTGTAATAACTCATACTATCACATTTTTCCTCTACAAACAAAACCTAACATTGGATGCCAATTTTTTTGTGGTTATTTCAAATTTTTGTTTTACTTAGGGCTGTCCTTACTGAGCCTGATATCAATTTGTCTTTTCTTTTTCTTTAAATAAGGCTAATATTTAGAGAAAATTAATTTTTATCTTTTAACATGCATCATGCTGTTTTTGAATTGTGTACTTCAATTTTAACATAACAGCCTTACTTTTTGCTGATACTTTATGTTAAGAAAAGCTGTTCTTTTAAGTGGTATGGGATATTATGTGCATTATGTGTCATAATGAAGAATTGTAAAAAGAAAAAAGGGGATGCATTTTTTATTTCCTTATGTGTTTGGCTGGTAGAACTTGCCTACCAGCCTTCTTAGAACATGAAGAATAAAATGACTAGAGACCAAACAGACCAACTAGCCCAAAAAGTAAGGTGTATTATAAAACTTTTTGTTGCATTATGGATTTTATTGTGACATTTCTTGATTTTTTAGAGATTTTTTAGTTGCAATAAATGCTGAAGAATAGCTTTGCTGCTATTAATCTTTGTATTAATTAATATTAATTATTTATAATTTACAGTTACTGAATTTCAAGATTTCAACTAGAAACATCTTGCAAAAGAAGTCATCATGGCATCGGTATGGTTGTTACCAGTCATTTTTATTCTTGCAAGTGTATGGTTGTATCTTTGCACAGTTTGGTCACCAAACATCCGTGGAGAGTCTCATAGGTATAAACCTCTTATTTTTGTTCCATAGTTTATGTACACTGAAACTAAACATTTAGATGATTGTAATATACGTGTTAAAGATTTCTTTTTCACCAGAGGTGAAATGGAAAAGAGGATATATAACATAGAGGCTTAATGTATTCTTTGATTGGCCATACCCTCTGTTGTGGTCTATAGTTTTGCCTATTCAAGGCTCATCAGCACAGCTTGGGTCAGCAAACCAAAGAAGTACCATTAGGCCCCTTATAATGGTGAAGTGTATATAAATATTATATATGGTTTTTTAAAGCAGTATATTTTAAATACAGAAATTAATTTGACAAAATATATATATTTGCACTGATTATGAACAAAGAAGAGAATTTACTGACATAAAATATTTTAAGTAAGAACACACTGTCTATTCATGGTTACCTACCAAACAAACCCATAAAAACATAACTAAGTTAATTGTGCCATTCAGATTTTTGCATCTATTTGACAAATTTTTGCAAAATTCACACTAACTGAACACATCACATCATCTTACAAATATTTTTTTATATTTATAACTCTGAAAAATAAATCTGTAGATGAACAACTTTGTTTGAACTTCCAAAGCTTACACCTGTTACCTCTAAAAATTTAGTATACATTTCTGGCCTTTTTATTACACCACTCAAACAAACCTCTCGTTAGACAATTGACCAAACCTTCAATAATTTTAAACATCTGAGGTTGAATCAAGTTGCCAGTAATTTTTTCTACATAAAGAAAGCAAGTCCCTAATACAATCTTTTATGTAAGGAGTGAGAAAACCTTTCACAATCTCAAGAAATTTGTCAGGATCATGTAAAGAAGGCAAATTTAACCAGTTCAGTGTTGAAAAAATTAAAAATCTCTCATAATATTAAATATACATTTATGCTTTTAACAGCATCAGATCTGTATATACATATTTCTATCAGTGTCCATAATTTGATCAGAAACCCTGATAAAATGCCAGTAGACATATTCCTTTTTCCTTAGTTTTCATGAACTTAAACCCAAACATTTCTGTTTATTTTCAACCTAAATTATATTCAGTACACAAGATTTAATTTAATTTATTACGAAATAAATTACTCCAGTGTCTTTTAATTGTATGGTACAAATGGAAATGTTTAAAAACATTTTGAGTAAACAAGGTCTTAAGTTATAATTTTTATTATAGTAGTTTAGAACAAATAACCATAAAATATAGTAATTTTTAATAAATATGTATGGAAAGTTTAGTTTTTATAATGTAACTGTATTTTTGTAGTCTGAAACTTAGTTCATTTTCACCTTGTACAGTACGAGTTCCATTGACCCTCCAGGGTTATGTCTGCTTTCCAGTAAATACATATATGTAGGTGTGAGCAAATGAAAAACATTATTGGTCTACATAAATATGTAAAGTTGAATGACGACATGCATGAATGGATTAAAATGATTACATGTTAGTTCAACCAGTACCTGGTAATGTTTTGAAAATCATCCTTTCAGATTTTGCAGATTTTTATCATACTTTTATTTTGTAATACTAATGCCAACTGTGAAAAGCCAGCATCCTAAACCAATTATTAAGAAAGTTGTTGTTTAAAGTAGAGATGAAATAAAAATTCTGATTTTTATTATATAGTTCTATGATTTATATTTTTTAAAGAATCTATAAATGATGGTTGAATATAGTTATGTGTACTTTTCAGAGTGGTTATAGGATAATAACATAATAGGTTCCAGATACTACAAACAAACATGCTTACCTCTGTTGACACACTTCCCCCCTTCCTTCCCACTAAGAGCCGCTGTTGGTGACCGGAATGAGGTACGTTTTGAAAAAGTGATTTTATTGTTTGCATATAGTGCTTATATACAGCACCTGGATAGATAGCATTTGAGGGCCGGCATAAAGTTATGCAAATTAGATATTGCCGAGGGCAGTCGAGTGGGGTATATATAAGGACTGGGGCAAGTGAACACAACATTAGATGGCAAAGATGAAGATCGAGAAATAGTTATTAGTGTCAGCGGAGGTAAGCATCTTTGGAAATACATTTTGAGTTTAGGAAAATGATAACAATTGGCAAAACCCAAGAGAGTGAGAGTTTAAAAGTAAGTATTAAAAAACACACCTAACTATCGATTTTTGTGTGTCACGTGGTATGTTGAATGCAGTTTTGGTTCAAGTTAAGTGTTTGTGATGTCCAAATACAAAGTTTATAGTTTCTTACAAGTTAGAAACTCAAATTACTAATATTGACAAGCTAGAATATAAACTAAGAACTTCCTATCTTTTTTATTTAATGAGATATGACTATTTTTAGTGAATCAGAAACATTGGCCTTGCCCACTTCTGTCTATTTTTGGAAATACTTGCTTGCATACACCCGCTTCACTCTATCATGTGTTTATAACTAATCAAAAGCTCAAAATTTCCCCCCACGTTTTTCTCAGCCTATTCAAGATATCTACTTCCCAAGATTAATCTTTTTTTCTCAATTTCGGAAGGAAGGGGTGAGAGAAAATGGTGTTTGAAAAACATTTTTTTAGACCAAAATAAAGCTTAGTTAATAAGTCTGATAAATCGAAGTGTAATTCTGTGATATTGGTAGAGTAATTTATAATTTTATTTCAAAATCTTAAAATCAAAATTACTTTGCATGTGGGATAGTTAACATTCAAAAAGAAAAAATTTCTGAGCAAATCTGTTATTAAAACATCTTAAAACTTAATTTATAAAACCTGATATTTTGTGTTCAAATGCCTTGTAATGTTTACTGAGAATCTGCGAAATTTCATAAAGATATGTTTACATTATCATAAATTATTATATAACCATTTTCATGGATACTTTGGTGGTTATGAGCTGGGTGGAATAGTGAAAGAGTTAATGGTTTTTATGAATACACTTATTTGACTACTTACCCAAGTAGGTGCATGTAAAGCATATCCTTCTAGTATTATTGAAAGAGAGTGGAATAGAGAGTGTTAGCAACTAAAGATCGTGGGTTTACATATTCTTTTGAGGAAAAGCAGGAGTGAAAATCTCAAAAAAAGTAGAGATACTCAGCTGGATGAAGTGGAACTGTTTTTGAAAAAGAAAAAAAAATCTGTGTAAACATAAGAAAACAGCAGAGCAGCTCAAATAAGTCTTGGTGCTAGTACAGCTTTAAAAAATAAGTTCCGGTACTTAGTTTTGGTGAGTACCAGCAGAATTTCTCTCCTGAGGAAAAGTAATGTAACCTGTCATTATTCACATGCACTTTGAGTGCCAGTGATGCTCATATGAAGCTAAAAGTAATGTAACCTGTCATTATTCACATGCACTTTGAGTGCCAGTGATGCTCATATGAAGCTAAAAGTAATGTAACCTGTCATTAGTTACATGCACTTTGAGTGCCAGTGATGCTCATAGGAAGCTAAAAGTAATATAACCTGTCATTATTTACATGCACTTTGAGTGCCAGTGATGCTCGTATGAAGCTCTCTTCTAATCTCATATGTTGAACTAAAACAACCAGTTTCTATTGCCGTGTTCACAAGTATTAGCTGCATAACAAATAAATGTTCTGTGAATCACATGTGATACTCAGGACAGGGATAGGGTTAAAATAGATCATCAAATTTTGTCCTAACCAATCCTTATAATGTTATGTGTGAGTTCTTACCATTAAATCTTATCTTTGTGTCATTGTTTAATTCATACATGTTTTAGTATTTGTGTGTATGTAGTTACAAAATTTTATTAGATTTCAAAGACTCAGTTTAAACTGATGAAAGATGGCTATAGAAAGATTGCTTAAGTTATGTCACTATATTTAAAAGTATGCTTTACTAAACTTATGGGTTCAGCTTTCTTTATTATTGATAATGGTATATCACATTCTTATGGTGCATATATCTTGAAGTATAAATGAAATTCAGTCATTCTTTGTAAACAGCAAGTACATGCTTATCTTAAATCATGGCAAAACAGACCTTAATCTGCTAAATGTTTAAGTTATTAAACAAATAGCTACAATATTTCCTTATTATACGAGTTTCAGTTATTCAGTAGTTGGCCACAATGTTTCATTGATGACTTCTTTTTTTTTGTTATTTTAGTGGTGAACTGAAATTTCCAAGTACCTTTGAAGACCTCCAAAAAATTGCTCCTTTACTTCAGCAGTATCATCGCACCAATAGTACCTTTGTCGTCCTATTATTTTGCTCTGCTTACCTTTATAAGCAGACATTTGCTATTCCTGGATCAGTATTTTTGGTAAGAATGCCATTTTTTTCTGGGTTTGTAATCGTTAGAAATTCATATTTTTTTTTAGAAGTTATAAGAAATATCTGATGAGATTTCAATAATAAAGAAAAAGATTTGGAAGTTTTAACACAGCTTAAAATTGTTTTCCTAGACTTCTAAAGTGTATACCTATATCTTGAGTTTGGAGGAAGTTCATATACTAAGAAATAATGTGCATTTTAATAAAATATTTTAATTGTTTCAAATTGTATGAAATCGGTCAAAGTAAGCTGTATATTCACTTTAGAACTTAAATAACATGATGAAATACAAGAAGTATGTCCATTTACTTTGATGAGATGTGTTGATGATAAAGATTCCAAAGCAGTGTTATAAAATACAGTGTGCATATGTACCCACTACTGTTTACAATTTGGAACATTTTTTATATGTTTGTTTGCAGTAATGTTTTGATTAGTGACAACACCCAATATATCTGAGTTTGTAATGAAATACTTTAGCTGTTATGAAATATGTTTATTTTAACAGAATTGTCTAGCTGGTGCACTCTTTGGAATATGGTTTGGTTTTCCCATCACATGTTTATTGACAGCTGTTGGTGCTTCTTGCTGCTATTTGTTATCCAAGTATTGTGGAAAAGAGCTTGTTCATCAGTTTTTTCCAGAAAAAGTTGAATTTCTTCAAAATAAAGTTAGTGTCTCAAACCAATTTTCTTATCTTTAAACCATGTTTTCCAGAAAAGGACCCACGTTTTGATATTCTAATTTTGTTATATTTTTACTTTTTGATTTGTAGAACAGTAGAATTTTTTTTTCTGATTTCTAACAGATAAAGAGAAACTGCTCCTTGTTTAAAAATATGATGCATAATTTAAGAATTCACCTAAGCAGAAGGTTTGGATTTATAGATCATTGCTGAGCAGTTCTACAGTTGTTTTATATTTGAGAGTATAGGTTTAGAAATTGTAATTTACTGTTCTTGTAAAGTGCTGTCACTGAAAAGAAAGAAAATCTCTTCTAATTATTTCTGTCATTAACATAAATTGGGTGGAAACAATATAAAATTTCAGTTAGAATTATCCATAAAAGAGTGTATAATTAGTTTACAGTTATTGTGTTGGTAGTTTCAATAAGTTATTAGTTTAAATATAATGTCTGGGATTAACAGGTCATAACTTCTTACTAAAGAGTGTTGCTTATTGTTATGTACAGTATTTATACAGTGGCTTGTATAACATACCTATTATGTTAGATATGGTTCTACATTGGTTCAAGTATTTAATATTGTTAGGGCCTGAGATCATCTGCCTTCTTTGTGATTTATTTGATTGGTACATTGTATAAATACAGCTTACAGTGATTTGTATAACATACCTGTTATGTTAGATATGGTTCTACATTGGTTCAAGTATTTAATATTGTTAGGGCCTGAGATCATCTGGCTTCTTTGTGATTTATTTGATTAGTACAATGAAAGTACCTACATCCAGACTTTAATACTAAGCCACTGCAAAAATGTGCTTTGCACTTTTGGGCAATGGGTGTGCTATCAGAGTGACAGACAGGAATAGGTTGAAAGTTGAGGGTTGGTGCTTTTTAATTAGCTGCCTTCAATCTGTTCTTGTCAGATCAGAATTAAGGATGGCTGTGTGTAGGTTTCCCTAGAGTAGTTTTGTGCAAAAATTGTAAAGTTATTTAAGTTGTAGATTCATTTATTAAAACTTTTACTGTTATTTCTATTTCAAGATTTATACACAGATGTTATATAGTGTTTTACAAATAAGAACTAATTCCATGATTTCTTCAGTGGTTTGATATTATTTATAATCTTACTTACTATTAAGAGTTCTAAAAATTTGTTTTTATATTAAATATTTGTATTTTACACTACTTTGAACCAAGACATACCTGACCAGTAATATCAGGTAAATCAATGAATGAATACCTACTTTCAACCAAGACATACCTGACCAGTAATATCAGGTAAATCAATGAATGAATACCTACTTTCAACCAAGACATATCTGACCAGTAATATCAGGTAAATCAATGAATGAATACCTACTTTCGACCAAGACATACCTGACCAGTAATATCAGGTAAATCAATAAATGAATACCTACTTCCAACCAAAACATACCTGACCAGTAATATCAAGTAAATCAATGAATGAATACCTACTTTCAACCAAGACATACCTGACCAGTAATATCAGGTAAATCAGTGAATGAATACCTACTTTCAACCAAGACATACCTGACCAGTAATATCAGGTAAATCAATGAATGAATACCTACTTTCAACCAAGACATACCTGACCAGTAATATCAGGTAAATCAATGAATGAATACTTACTTTCAACCAAGACATACCTGACCAGTAATATCAGGTAAATCAATGAATGAATACCTACTTTCAACCAAGACATACCTGACCAGTAATATCAGGTAAATTAATGATTGAATAAAAATGGAAATATGGATTTTGTTTAATTTTAGATGACAAAATTAAATGGGAATATTTTAACACAAATGTGTTTATTATTGATAGATGTGAAGAATAAAGTGTACATTTAATCAAGTAGTCTAAAATCTATGCATATTTTTTATGTGCATCAACTGTTTTCTAAATCTATAAATCATTAATTCATACATTATACAGCTTTATAAAATAAATTCTACTTTTACAATTAAGAAGTTAAACTGACTTTTAACTATGAAAATTAGTCAGTGAAAAATTATTTGGCAGTTCTTTTTAATGCAAAACGGTTTGAAAATACTATGCTTTGAATAGTAGTTGGGATATAGTTTCACTTTTATCAAGAAAACAAATAAAAATGAAATACTTGCTTCAATTAAAAAAACTTTTAGACATTGTATATAAGCTTAAGTTACAGTTAATGAACTTTTAACACCACTAAATATAGTTTAGCTTGTAATTGTACTATATCCTAGACTTAAAACTTTGTTAGGTATAATACTTTTCAATTGTATTGAAGTACAGTTAGAAGTTTGCAAGCCAGTAAGTGGGTCATAAAACTGGTTAAATTCTTTCACTGCTGGAAGTTATAGTAAAATTTTAAGGTCATCTATGAAGAAGCATAATTTCTTTGTTAGTATGCATGAAGGCTACTAATTAAAACTCTATATACATAACTGTCACTGGTTGATATTTTTATATTTTTGTACTGAACTTTACCAAGCAAAGGATGAAATTCTTAATATTTGACTTATATTTTCCAAATTTTATTCATGTTCAACTAATTCACATTTTGGATGTATAGATACAAGTTTATGTAATTAATGCCTCTGAATGGTTAAAATTAACTCATTGCTATAAACTGAAATAACTGTGTAGTTTCTTAGTTACCTTACTATTATCAAGATTACTGAAATTATTGATAACAGAGAGTGAACTAAAAATGTTTTAAAACTATTTTATGAGAAAATTTGCTGTTATGAATAATAGCTTTTAGATATTTCAGAGCTAAATTATTTATTTTAGGCAAATCTCAAATTCTAGGTTGAAGAAAATAAGGAACGACTTCCATATTTCTTACTCTTTCTACGGTTGTTTCCAATGACGCCAAACTGGTTTTTAAACATGGCATCTCCTATTGTCAACATTCCTCTACACCTATTCTTTCTGTCTGTATTTTTTGGTGAGTTTGACATTTTTAAACTTTTTATGTTTTTATTCCTTTGTGATTGATAATAGTGGGGGATATGTGAACATTGAAACAACCCTATCAAAATTATTCACTGACAGTGTTATCATGGTGTAAAAATATGATGGTAGAGGTGATACTGTGGATGTAGTTTCTTTGGGATAAACTTACTTAGGCTCTAAGATTCAAAAAAAATGTTACATAATAGATATGATTAATCATTTAGAGAACACACATCCTGGAGCAAATGCACATGGTAGAATATACATTGATAGGTCTCACATGCTAACTGATGGTGAATACTTGAATCTGACTGGACTGCCCAATCTCAGTTTAATGACCTGTCTTCCAGGATTGCATTTTGAGTAATACCCATGTTAGATCTGTGCAAACTTATTTAGGGAATCTCTTCCTTAAATACTGCACTGTATATGGGTTATCCAACATAATTCTGTTTACAATTTGTCACTTGGAAAATACAGCCTGCTGTAAGGAGAGCAATACAAGCAGCTTGTTCTGCTTTGGTGAGTAATTTGTTCCTTTGTATTTGCTTAAATCAGCCCCAAGACTTTGTATCTAACTATACCCATCTTCTTGTGAGAACCATTTGCCTGAAAGGAACATTGGTATTGCTACTGTAGTTTTAGCATTCATGTGTGTGTGTCTTTATATATATATATATATATTGAAAAGTGCCAAGTATGTAATCAAGAGGAAAAGTTACACTATGTACAAGCTGTGACCACTTGTTAAACTAATGATGGTTGTATTTAATGGATAATACATTGTGTTGGCTCTTGGTTCATAATTTACTTTATGGGAAAATAATGATACAACAATTACTCATCACATACTACAAAATGTTGTTGAAAATGTTTGCATCTGGAAACAACCACATGACATGATTATTATAGATACAGGATTTAGGGATGTATTGGATATTTTTCATGAATTGGGGATGGAAATCCAGTTGCCATTCTTTCTGCAAAAGGAGGTGTAACCTTTGAGAAAACCCTTTGATTCAAGGCTTGGCACAAAAGTGTTGTAGGTGATAGAAGCAATAAATGATCATATAAAGCAGTGGAAGCTACTGGATACAATATTTACCAATCTGAAGACTTCTTTTTTTTTTTTATAACAGGTATGTTAGAATTGTCAGCTCTTTTTACAAATGCTATTGGCCTGCTTTTGTACAAAGTACAGAATATAATTCTGTGATCATACAACACATATTTGAATTGATGAAACCCCCAACACACTACAACAGGTAGTGGAGTCTAAAGGTGTAGTGAGGAAGAGGTCATTATGTAAAAAAGATTGAAGTTGGTGATGCAGCTTCGGACTTACCACAGCTATATGAAGAATGTCATCAGTCAATACAGCATATTTAAATATAGAAATTTGAAGAGAGGACAACATTTCCATTATATAGACTCTTGTCATTATTGAAAGTTTCAATATGGTTGTGATGAGAAATGTTTTATAAAATGTATAATTAAACAGCAAAAATGAGCATAAATTATTGCTTTATATAATGAAAAGTAAACTCAGTGGTATATTGGTCAAAATCATATTGTTTTGAAGGGTGCTGTTGACATAACATTAAAGTATATTTGTTCCAATTGGAAGTTTAAATCCAAAAAGAGGAAGACATTAAAAAAAACAACAACAAAAACATTCAGCTGGGAAGATAGGGACATTTGAAGAGTTTTAATAACAACTAAATTTATATCTCCAGAAAGAAATGCAAAAGTAAGAATATGCAAGGAATTAGAATCAAAGGTAATTATAAGAAAGTAACTTGCATGGAAAATTTGCAAACAAAACATAATATTTTGTGTGTGAATATGATACAAAGGATTAGAGGAAGTTGGAAATACTAATGGGAGAATGGGCTATGGAATGATGAAACGATATATCTAATTATAAAAAGGAAGTAAATTAATAATTAGACTTAGGTGTTCATACACTAGTAATCGTGACAACAGTTGATGAAACAAAGATTTAACTTCTCGGAAACTCAAGAAGAGTTTTTATGTGGTGATATGACCATGAAGGTATTATTATTAAAACTGATGGTGTTAAAAAGGAGTAGTATCAAAACATTGTTGTTCATTATGCAGTATTCATTTGATAATACTTAATAGATCTTGATTTTAAATTTTAACAGGATAATAATTCAAAACTACTTTCCTTATGAATAAGAGGTATTTGAAGGAGAAGAAAGGAGCTGATGTTATATGAGTCATAAAATGTCTAGTTTAAAGTTCTGATATTAATTCAATTGAATGTCACCAGTTGAAAAATAATTTTGCAAAAAAGAAGGCGACTAAACTATGGCAACATTAGAAATCTGTATAGCAAAAGTGGAAGGAAATGCTAATGAATAATTTCAAAAATTGATGTTATCCATCCTTGATTGATGCCATCATATAGTTAAAGCTAGAGGAAGTTATGCCAAATATTGATTTTTCAATTTTAAGTATTGAAGCTAATGTTTATTCCTAGTATTGTTATATATATAAATCAAAACAACACTTTTCTTTTTGCAATCTTTCTTTACAACTTGTGTGTTGACACGTTGGTCTTCAATTTGTTATCAATAGTACTTATATACTAAAAAGTTTAGTCTTTTTTGTTTATTATGGATTTTCAAAAAAAATGTTTTATAGCATAAAAAAAGGTAAGTGTTAATTTCATCTCTTCCATGTTGAGAGTTAGGTTTTACTTTCTTCTAACAGTAAGCCTCTTATGTAAGTGTATTGTTTGTGCTGAACAAACATATGTGGAACTATGATGTTTTCACTGGGAAGTGGGTGTGGTGAGTCATAATTTGCCTTATCAGTGAAAGTACTAACTTTATAATATACACATGATAAACATAAACTAAACTGACAAATTCTGTTAATATTATTCCATAATTTTTTTTTTTAAGAAAATGATCGAATATGGTACTTATGCAATGATTTTGTAAATCACCGAGACTTGAGGCTTATTCCTGGATCAATTCATATATCTAGATTAGTATCCTCAGATCTTTTAAGTAAATATTTTCCAGTTTCATTATATCTGGTTCATGAGTGTTTGGTGAAATAATGCAGTAAACCTAATTATATTACTTTCAGGAGAGAGCATTGTAGTGGTCTTATGTACATACTATAACATCAGTAATATTTTATGTTGGATATGTGCATACATCAGTAACCATTTATGATGTATATCAATGCATATAACAGTAATCCTCTTGATGAAAAACACATACAACAGTAATCCTGTGGCACGGATACGTGTACATTTCCATTCTTTGTTGATACATACATGCATACCTCAGTAATTTTTCTTGACAAATTTTAGTAAGTTCATACCAGTCGATAGCCTAATCAACGCCTTCATATAGTTAAGGCTAGGAGAGAATGTACCAAGTAATGGCTATGTCCCGAAAGCCCTCCAGTGGCTCAGTGGTATATCTGCAGACATACAATGCTAAAAACTGGGTTTTGATACTCCTGGTGGGTACAACATGGATAGCCCATTGTGTAGCTTTGTGCTTAACTACAAACAAACAATATCTTGAAAATAATGTTTATACTTAATATTATTATAACATGTAAACAAAAAAAATTATTTTTCTCTTGCAATTTGTATTGAAATCAGTCATAAAATATAAATGTGCAAATACACACAACAGTAATTTTCAATGACAGTTCTTAGTGAATTCATAGCAGTGTTTTAATTTTTTAATGCAAACATTTTTTGCTCTAACAATTATACTTTTCTAAACATTCATGAACTAAGCTTTTGTAGATTTTAATAATTGGCAATGTTTCATTTGTTATCCTTCATTATATTTAACCTTAATTTTGCCAAATGTTCCGAAGTGTTTTAATTGCTATAAACTTCCATCTTAACACCGGTAATAATGTCAGTAACATAATAAAAAAATAAAAGTAACCCTAAAAAGTATTGTGAAATTTTGGAACAGAATTTTATTAAACTCCTTAAGTAGCTGAGTATTTCAAATTTAAATGGTTTACGACTTGTATATAGCAGAGAACGTTTCTAAACCTGTTTTTTTGTTTTTATTTTTGGGTAGGCCTTATGCCCTACAACTACACCTGTGTCCAGACAGGAGCTCTTCTTTCACAGATCCAATCTTTAGATGATGTTTACAGTACTGCCACAATATTGAAACTAGCCTGCATAGCTGCTGTAGTGTTAATCCCAGGTTTGCTAGTAAGAAAATCTAAACCCACCAAAACTCTCTGAAAACAAAAAATTGCAGAACCGCTGAGTGAAAGTGGTGAATTGTATTGCTCAGTCACTGGATTTTATAAAAGATAAATGCAATTTTTTTGAGTAACTCGGAACAAAGTTTTAACACTTTGTGGTTTGATAGCATGTCAACAGGTTTTTTGAATAGCACTGAGAAGTTGTATGTTATATTTATGGTAGAGGCAAACAGATTTTAAAATGAAAATGAAGTTATATAACAAGAACTGTATCCTTACTATATAATGAATTCCAGAAATTACTGATCTTCTTATGAAACAGACCTGAATGTGCAGAACTGTGATGATCTGTTGAACTATGTTCACTTCTTATGTTGAGGGAAGTATCCATTTATAATGTATGTAATAGTGTACAAAAACATTAGGAAGATATAAGTGTATCATCTTTAAAAATAAAACTAATTTCAGTAAATATTTTATTAAATTTGGAAAAGTGTTCCAAATATACTTTTAAGTTTACCAATTTTTGCACAATTATGTGAAAGAAGAGAAACTAATGCCTTGAACTATTATATTATTAAAGTAATATGTAATTTACCTGCTCCATTTATACTTTTTTTGTTGACGTAAATATAAGTGTATATTAACAATATCTATTTAAGGTAATATTATGCAGCCTAAAATGCATTGTTCTTAAATTATTCATATTTAAGAGTGTGTGTTTTCAAATACAAAGTGGTTAATGATAAGTATGGCACAATGAATGCTAGTAACATTGTTCAGATAGTCATGCACAAGAATATTGTGAGTACTGTTGACTCTTAAGAAGTAGTTCCAGTTATATCTCAATGTTAAAGGCTGTTTAAAAAACCCACACTATCTCGAGCCATAATAGCACCTTAAAAACATTCACTTTTAGTTAACCAGTACATATTCAGGCCTGTACGTAGAATGTTTGAAAGGGTGTTCTAATTTGTGAGATCAAAAGCCAACACAAAGCATGCTAATGCTATGGGGGAATGTGATTATTTTAAGCCAAGAAATGTTAATACTTAACCAGAAGAACATAGACTATGTAGGAAATGTTATAAGCAGCTGCACTAAAACTATATAAGCATAATATTTTACACCACAAAAATAGGGGGTTTGACTGATCCCTCCCCCTGTGTATGTGTGTGATATTATTAGATTCTTTGTGGTCAAACTCTCGTCACCCTTTCAATCACAAAATTCATACCAATGTTTCTAATTTGTTTTATTGATTATTGTATCGAATATAGTTTTGTATTGAGTTTACAAAATAACAAAGATAAAAATTTTTTTTGAGGGGGAATATTTTAGTTTTCAAATGTCTTAAAAACATTTGCAGAACCTTAAATAATATTGTCTTGTATGTGGATTAAGTTTAATGTGAGAATGTTGATTTTATTTGAGATTTTATTCATTTTTATTTCTTATATATATATATATATATATATATATATGCCATGAGTATGTTATGTATATGTATTCAAGTCAACTTTTTCATAATAGTTCATGCTCAATTATAAAATTAAAGGGTTTAAAGAAATCTGTTGGCCATGTTTTGGTTAGAGAATTCTGTGTTTTCAAGCGTGCCCAGTTTTTAATACATTTGTGAATTTTATTTTGACACTCATTTGAGTAATTTATCTGAAAACAATTTTTAAGAGTTACAGCAAATGTTCATGTATTTATATATAAGTAACAGTTGGGTGGTTCATTGTCTTTATATTTTTTTGATATGGTGGGGGACGTTTTATTTCATTGTTTTTTTGAACAGTTACTATTTCCACTTTACTCAGTTTAAAAATGTAATTAAGCCAAAATTTGAAATGCATCACATCCATTTAAAGCCCTCTTCATTGGATTTGTTCATTAATTTTCTATTTAAAAGCTATCAAATTTTCTTTTAGCAGTTCCACTCACAATAGTTATGTTTTAATAATATTGACACAATGTTTCCTTATGGTTTTAGCAGGATGACATTTTGCTTGAAAAATTGTACAAGGTTGTGTTTATTATAAGTGATTGTTTCCTTGTGTGTCAACTGGACAACTTCCTGTTTGTTTTTTCTCTAGACTTACTGCCATGTAAAACTAATAGAATATTTTTATTGAAAAAACTGTCCTTTATGTGAATCCATAGTTTTACTATGAAATCAAGTGCAAATAATTCATTCCAGGCAAAAAACACCTTAGAAAGACACTGAACAATTATACCCAAATGTATCCATGCAGTCATGGGTATGAAAGACAGTCTGCATTTTTTATATAGTTTTCTGAAGTGATTCTGACATCCACACATGCACATCTCTATAGATTCAACTGTTATCATGTGCAGAAGATGAAGCAAACCTTGCCTGTGACCTGGTCATTTGATGTCAAACTGTAATATGCATTTAACATCTGTTTATAGAGGTACCAAATGTTCAAAAGAATATTAATAAACTTGTCCATCAATGATTTATGAAGAGAAAATTAGTAGACATGAATGTTGCTCAAAATGACTGGGTAGAAGAAAAGAAATACTTCTCTAAAGAATTTTCTGGTGATGCCTTCTAATTGTATGTGTGATGCATGCATTTTCTATGTTTCTTCATTCAAAAACTGACTGATCTATACATGTATGTTACATGCTCTATTTTTTTTTCTAAAAGATTAACTCTAATTTTGATGGGTGTTTACAGAATTAGTGGATCACTAATTTTATGGTCCAGATGTAGCCGAGTCTATTTTTCAAAATGGACTTGAACATGAAGCATGCAAGTTCATTTACTATAAACCTGTTTGTGGTTCAGTTATTCTTTTCTGACAAACAATTGGGTGTGAAATGTCGGACTTCTGATTGTAGGAAAACAGGCAAATTATTATTTGCACATTGAAGTGTATAATAACTGAACCAAGGGTCAATTATGCCCTTTTTCTGATCCTTTAAAAATAAACATGAAGCCTAATCTATTATTCAATCCACGATATGCCACAGAGCTATACCGGTGTAGGGGAATACCACCACTCATCAGTAACCTTTAATAAGGGCAAATTGAAAAAATATTCTTTTAATCCTATATAAATATGGATTCACTGGTGAGTAAAAATGCAAGTAAGCACACCATATATATATATATATATATATATGTGTGTGTGTCCCCTTAAGAACTGTAAGCATTACAGTGAAAATTTATTCCTAAGTCAAATTTTCATTTTGATCTATGCTTGAAAATATTTGTTTATTGTACTTTAGTTTTTATTGAGAAATTTATAAATATATATATATATGAAAGTCCCTGTTTATATAAACTATTTTTCAGATTTGAAATAAGTGCTTTCACAATTTATTTGAATGTGAAGCATTATATCAGTTTATTTCAATAAATATAAAATGAAGTTTAGTTCTCATCAATTATTTCAATAAAGACACTAGTCCACAATTCTTGTATACAAAATAAATGTTTTTATTTAATTACAACCTCAGTTCCTCTTTACTACATTGTACATCAAGTGTTTCTGTTAGAGCTACACTTGTCTTCTACAAAACTAGACTGGAAGACTGCTACTGCCAACTTAAAAAGTCACAGTTCTCTGCTACTACCACTAAGCATCCAGTGTTTCTGTTAAGCTAAAGTCACATTTATATTTTGCCATTCTAAATAATTCTCTGTTGAGTTGAAACCAAAACACTTTTTACTAAAACAACAGATATTTATTTTAAGTTAAAGCCACAGCAGTTTATAAGAAAATCAATACTTGGAATACTAGTCCTGTAGTATGTAATCAGCTAGGTGGTTTTGAAAACAGATTGATGTATATCATAAACCAACACCTTCATTTTGATAGCTTTGTTCCTCCAGCACCTAGATAACTTTATAATAGTTCATGTGAATTATATTGTTACGTATCTGCTCGTTTGATAATTTCCGGTATAAATTCTTTCGGAGGAAC